CGTGAGCATGAGTCAGTAACCGGACATGAGATAGAAGCATCAAAAAGGCGTTGGTTTGCTCAATGTTTTATCGAGCTGATCGAAATAGTGGACTAGTGAAATTAAGCTTACGGCATGTGGTCGATGTAAAGAAAATAGATAGGAAGTTGACCAATAATTCCTCATAGTTGACTACGAGTGTGTTGTTTTAGAAACTTTTTCCGAAGGTTTTGGTTCAGTCGAGAAGTGAGCACAAGGCACTATTATTATAGTCATAAAACTGAAGGATCTGCTACCGAGTATGTCTGAGGTTCGCCACTTGGTCATCATAAACTGGCCTGGTATTTGACCATCTCAAACAATACCTCCGGCCGCTGTGCCCTATATGCATCCCATGAAGTTGCGGTTAAAATGAGCCAGGCGTGTGTTTGATGCTTTGTCAGCTTGTCCACGTCCGGATAGTATTGTTGAGGCTATCTAATTGATATGATTAGTAGGAGATTAGTCAATCTAATCAAAGGTAGAAGTTATACAAATTTATTCACACAGCTGAGCAAAAACTTTAAGAATACAGTTGGTCGAGTGCCTCCCCTTACCTTCAGCTACACAAAAGGCGACTGAAATCGTCGACTTGGCGATTATGCAATCACGATGTCTTTAGTCATTAGGTGTTGATATCTTTTGGATAACTTTCTGATAGATTAATCTCATGCCCACAGGAATTCGCGTACACACTCAACGAGAAACATTCACACATCTATTTCTCTTCCTTTAGGCTGTTCTGAATATATATAACATGTACGAAAAGGGTAAGTGGCCTTCTTGATCTTGTGTAGACCTCAAAGATATAGTCATTTGTGATTATTACTGAACTTGCTGTTCGTACATACTTAGACACCTATATAGAAAATTACTTATAGTCACCTGAAAAGAAATCAAAGTTTTTTATTTTTTTTATTTTTTGAGTTTATACGTTTAAGGTACGTTTAACCGTAGTCTTCCCGACTTCGTGCAACCTTAACGTCCTGGATTAATGGAACAAGTGAAAATTCCAACTGCAATTATAGAATAAAGCTCGTCCTTTTCACCGGACGGGTGGGACGTTGTTTAATGGGTGTTACATAATGTTTCAATCTGAACTTTATTATCATTGAGGTTGTTTGACCTTGTTTTCGCAATATGGTCATATTGGTAGGAAGACTTAGAGGAACGCACCTAATCGGGAGTCCATTGCCTGCATGATCATTTCCAAAGTTGAACCGTGGACGTGGTACATTCCCAAACGTTTCGCCGGCATCATCAGTGACTATAGCATTCTTAACACCACACAACAACTCGTCAAAGAATTGTCTCTTTGATTCTGTCTCTTTGACGAGTTGTTATGTGGTGCTAAGAATGGCGATACTCACTGACGATGCCGGCGAAGCGTTTGGGAATGTACCACGTCCACGG